AAGCTAGACACATGTCATCAGTCACACTAGGAGAGAAACTAGGTCTATTCTTGGATTCCGACCCCTGATAAAATTCAGCAAGGGTGCTTTATTCTTTGCATCAGCAAGCCTTGGAATGCTTGCCCTCCCAGGGTGCTTTTACATCACGTTGGTGCTGGGCTACAGATGTGGGGGTTTGGTATATGTGTTTGCATTTTTGCGTGTGTTTGAGAAAGCCTTTTCTGAAGGGCTGTGGGCCAAAACTCCCCCACTGGTACTTTCCCACCCCCAGTTTTCCAGGAAGAATTGGTTATATCCCCCCGCCAACCCTTTTCTATCTAAATGTGGTGCTGGGCCTCAGGAAGCCTTGGTGCACAAAGCTTCCATCGAAGACTGTCACTTGACTGACAGCAAAAAGGTTGCAGGAAGATGGACAGCTGGGTGTAGGTGGACATGGGGAAAAAGAGACAGCCGAACAGATTAAATCAGAACACAGCAAGAGGAAGGTTCTAAATCACAGACCTGTCCAGACGGAGAAGGCTCTAGGAGTTTTAAAACCAGCTAATCTTATTTTTAATCGAAGTCAGGTTTTTGAAACAGCACCCAAGTTTATAAATAAATCTGCAACACATAAATACATATTGTAAAGGGGCACAAGGAGTAAATTGCTGAAGACAGCTGGAAGTGGAGAGGCCCAAAGCATCCTAAATTGTCTTATTACTTTTGCAGTGGTTTCTGCAATGCAAATTTAGATTCGTGTGTCGTTTAACCAGGGTGGCCTGCTAAGCAGTGTGGGTACAAGGAGGCATTTATCAAAGTAGTTTAAATGATAACAATCCGAGGGAAAACTGTAAAAGTTTCAGATTAGAGCATAATGAGAGGAAATGGGGCCCAGCTTTACTGAGCTGCAATTGATCATTTGATGCAAGAGACTTGATTGATTTCTTGCCAATGTTCAATTACCTCTATAAGTGTCCAATGTAATATAAATAGGCCGGTTGAAATTGCAGAGATAGGACCTCACTCTTAAAGTTAAAATATGTTGGAATCTCCCTCATAACCACCTGTGCATGTTTTGACTCAAAAAAAAATTTCTAATGTTTATTCATTTTTGAGAGCGAGAGAGAGAGAGAGAGAAAGAGAGAGAGAGAGAGAATCTGGAAGTGGGCTCCAGACTCTGAGCTGTCAGCACAGAGCCCAAGGCGGGCCTTGAACTCCCAAGCCGCGAGATCATAACCTGAGCGGAAGTCGGTGCTTCACCAACTGAGCCACCCAGGGGCTCCTGAATTGACATACTTTAGATGTCACTTTGAGTCAAATGATCCACTACTAACTGAATTATTTTTACCCCCCTGTTTCAAATAAAACTCATTTTTTGTCTGAATTTACCCCAGTCTATTTGCGCAGATAGAGTCAAGGTCTAAGAAAAGGTGGTCCTACCTATAACTTAGGGGCAGAGGGCTGCTTAGTACGTTTAAAATTGTGTGATGCAGGTTTATGCATACACTCCTGAGCTGGCATTTGCTTTATAGAAATTCTTCATTGTTTTCAACATTATACATCCAGAATGCCCCCAAATAACGCTACCTGAACCGAACCCTGTTCATGAATCTCACTCTTGTATTTCTTTATATCGGGAATGTATTTGTGTTCAATTGATTTTAATAAGGTTTCGTTAATTTACAGTGGAACTCCCATAGTATGTGATGCAGAAAAGAGCATATGCTATGCTTTCTCGGAGTTTTGACTGAGTTTCCTCTTAGCCCCTTTGAATAACCAGTCAAGAGGCCTAGTCTTTTACAAAGAAAATACTTTTCCTATTTACTGTTTGGCATAAATGATTGGGTTACAAAAATGATACATAAATATAATTTCAAAAGTAACATTTCCTCTATAAATACACTTTTAAGCTTCCATTATCTAAACAAGCATTTACAGGATTTATGTTGTACATAAGGAAATGCATTATGCGTCATTTTAGACGTTGTCAGAATATTTGGAGATCTTTGGAAATTATAAAACAAATGTTTGGGACATAAAATACTCTGTAAATGCTTTAGACTATCATGGGGAAAAGAAAAGTTAGGTTTCCAAACTTACATTCTCTTATGCAGTAAATCATAAAGTATGTTCATGGTTATGTTCTTTTTCCTACAACATTTCATTGCAATTACACATTGTTTTTTTTGGGGGGGGGAAGAGGGCTATTACAGGACTTCCATAAATTGGTTCTCTAACTAGATAATTATTTCTCGGGTAAAAATGGCTTTAAAAAATTGCACCAGTTTCTGTTATCCACGTCTATATTATCATTAATATTTCATCACAAAACAACTATAATTTCAAGTTTTTTAATGATCACAAATCAATATAACTACTAAATATCGAAGTATTTAATCACTGTAACTTGAAGCCTTATGTTGGCATTTTGAGTTACACTGAGTGGACACCATTTCATAGGTGTTCTTCGAAGGTTTCCAAGTAAACAGCATTTTCTGTTTCTTTGCGAGCATGGATTTCATGCAAAATACAAAGCAAAATAGTTTCAGTGTTTAACTCCTGTTCCCAATGTAGCCAAAACCCGATGCAAATGATCTCCTCCAAATTCTCTTGAACAAAGGTTGATTTTCTCCACAAAATGTTTAGTTCTGGGATCGAGAGCTGTCCCGGGACTGAACTGAGTGTCTTTCTCTCTCTCTCCACCACCCTTTGAGGAGTCCTGAGGATGACAGAATGTTCCTGATGGTATCCGCTCAGCCCCCACATCCCCATGTGGTAGGTATCACGCATCATCAGGGCTGAGAAGAAACCTCTGTTGACAAATGTTTGTTAGAGCTGAATTAGACTTCGGGTCCAGTGCCAAAGTTTCAGAAAAGCCTTCTTCCTGGAGAACTCCTTGTCTGTTTCCTTCTCAGTGACTCAGAAAGGCCTCCTTCTGTGTCCCGCCCTCACTCTTCTGACTGGTCAGGACCTGAGCTCTGGGGCCATTTTTCTCACTCAGGTGTTAAGGGCTCACAAGAGTCCTGCCTTCTTATTTGCATCAGAGTTAACATCAAAGTCTCGGTATCAAAGGATAAAATCTCCAAAAGGGTTTTCTGGGAGCTTTAGGAGGCCCACCAAATGTTGTTTCAGGATACCATATTTCAGGCGGTAGCTTGTGGTCAAGAGTGCCCTCTTGGCTATGTCATCAGACAGAGCATCGGTTATTCATGATCGCAGATATTTTGATTTGGTGGTGGGTGTTGGGTTCCCCACACCTGTTTCACTTAATTGTTTTTGAAACTATTAAATTTGGAGATAAGTGTAATCCTCAGGCTCAAATCCAACTGTACCGTCTAGGAACGTGGGTTGAATGTGAGCTGTAACAAATCAACAACGAAAGAAAGGAAGAATTGAGAAGTTATTTCCCTCCCGACTCCAGGAGGTGCTGAAATACAACACTCCCCTCTCAGGGAGCCTGCTGTGTAAATCACAGTGCCAACTTTCCTCATGGAAGGGAAGCTTCAAGCTGAATAAATGATTGCCCACTTAATAACATTAAATTATTAATATCAAATTGATGATATAACATGATTAATATTAAGTTATTAACTATGAAAAAGTTATTAGTAAAATATTATTTGAGAGTAATAATAACTGTCGACCGCACGTCAGAGACCACACCAGGTACTCTACAAAATTCACTCCATTTTTAGAAGAATCACATAACCTAGATGCAATTCACACATGAGAAAACCGTATCTCAGAGAGGCTAAATGCCTTACCCGAAGACACACAGCTCCCAACAGATCAGCTAGAGGTCTGTCTTGAAAACCCTGCTTCTAGCAATGACAGGGAGTCATTGCAGTACTGGTGTGGGGTCCCTTGATAAAAAGACTGATGGCCAGGGGCGATTGGGTGGCTCACTCAGTTAAGCGTCAACTCCTGATTTCAGCTCGGATCGTGATCTCAGGGATCACGAGCTAAGCCCCGTGTTGGGCTCTACGCTGACAGCTCAGAGCCTGCTTGGGATTTTCTCTCTCCCTCTCTTTGCCCCTATCCCGCTTGTGCGCTTCCTCTCTCTTTCTCTCTCTCTCTCTCTCCCTCCCTCTCTCAAAAATAAACATTAAAAAGAAGTGATATCCAAGGAGGTCCAACAAAACTAGCTTTAAAGAAATCTGGCAGTGTTCAGTAAAAGGCCGAGTGGATTCACCTTCTTGGTGTTATCCTCTCTCTAGCGTTTATGTATTTTTGTCATTGCTTACTTGTCCAGAGGTCAAAGGTCCTTTTGTTACCACTTTGGTGAAATCGGCCCCTCCACTTAGAGGTGGAAACTCTGGGATACTTGGCACTTTTTTAAAAGGTCTTTGCAAATTAAAAAGTAGCTCAAGTCTTTGTGGTATAGGCACTGTACAGGAGGGGAAAAAATGTATCCAAATTTTTGAAATACTGGATCACTATATTCATTACGCTTATAAGCACATACATTTTGACATGTCTTTTAATGGGTTCAAAATACTCCCAAATTCTTTTTTATTTTTTAGATTTTTTTTTTAAATTTTAGAGACAGCATGAGTGGGGAAGAGGGGCAGAGGGGGAGAGAGAGAGAGAGAGAGAGAGAGAGCGAGAGAATCTTAAACAGGTTCCATACTCAGCACAGAGCCCCATGCGAGGCTTAATCCCCCCCACCCTGGGATCACGACCTGGGCCAAAATCAAGAGTCAGATGCCGAATTGACTGAGCCACCCAGACACCCCAGTACTCTTGAATTCTTACAGCATTTAGGAGGCTTGTTTTATTCTAAAGCCTAGCGAATTTATTTTAAAAGATGGTGGTTTTAGGTAATTTTTGAGATTATGGTATTCTATTGTATGCTCCTGACCCCAGTGGATTATTGATTTGTTGAAAATTCTTGTGTCTTCCAGTAAAGTGGTTCCAGGCTGATGACAGACTGGACCATGATCTTTTATTCCACTTTTGCCCGATATGGGGGCAGGAATCATGCCTCTTAGGTTAGAGACCTTTTCCTCTAAGTAGAGGAAACAGTTCAGTTTTCCAAGATAGCATTTCCCGCCTCTTGGTCTTCCAGGTTACTGGATCGCTTTGGGGTCTGAAAAAGGAAAATGAGAAGAAGAAAAGGGGGAGTCACTGAATGTACCCCAGCCAACGGAGCCTCGCTTTCAGGCAGTCGGGGCTGGAAAGACCATGTTCAAAATTCAGTGCACGTATCCCAGGAGGCGAAAAACGGTGCGTGTTCTAGAAATGTTACTGTTTTTTAGGAAGGCAGGCCGTGCATTTTCCATTCCAACCACAGGTGCACGCAAAACGAAAACTAAAACTTAAACTCTTGCGGAGAGGCAACCGGCAACTATTGTTTCAAAACGTTAATCGCTCTTTCCTCTTTCCAGTGGCTGTGCCAAATGGCCGGGACCAAATTCACCTTTCTTCTATAAAAAACCCAGGGAAACACAACAAAGCATCTATAAGTGAATCCCTTAAAGGGGCTCCGTGTAGTTGTTTAAATAATTGATACATACACATAAGGGTACATCCTCCCGTCTGCATTCCCCACCTTCTCACTTGCGTGAAGACAGTAGCTACAATAACTGACATCCACGTCCTCAGACTGTGACATTGCGGGTCTTTCACCGAGAAGCCAAAATACCTGGGGCCCGCGCAGCTGTCCCTCTAGGCCGCCCACCCGCACAGCTGCGGCCCACGCCCTCGCCCTGCGAGCTCAAATAAAACTTGCCCATCGCATCAGCCCGCCGCGGAGTTTGCAAGGGTGCAGCTCTCCAGCCGCGGAGGAGACACGATGCGCTGCGGTGGCCGACGACCCGAAACCGCAGCCGGGACCCCCTCTTTCCTCCACACCGCCCTACCCCCACCTCTTGTTTGATCTAGGATTCCTTTTTATGTTTTTCAGGGACAGAAGCGACTCCAGCAACCTTGGGGGTGTTGGTTATGAGTTTCTCCTTGAAACGCGTTCTGATTCCATTTTCCGTAACCCAGCTGGCGAGAAGCACGGCCCCTGGGTCCTCGGCACCCCGGCCGGCCACCACACCGCAGGAGCGGTCGGGGTGCGCCGGACGTGGGCGGGCGGTTGAAAAGACACCCCGCCGACACACCTCCACCCCGCGGGTTGCAGGTTGCGTGTCTTTTGTCCGCTCGCCTTTCCGCGGGGGCCGCGCACTCCCGCGCCTGGCCGGCAGGTGGCGCGGTTGCCTCATGATGAGCCGCTGCCTGCGCGGGGAAAGGCGCTGCCACCTCCCCGCGGTCGCCCACCCGCTGGGACCCAGGCTCCGGAGAAAATCCCGGTCCTACCCTGGAGGTTGACAGAGGAGGCGCGGCCTGGGGGAGGGAAGAAGGAGGCTTCAACGGGAACCGGGGTCCCTTTAAAGGTCCGGAGGAACGCACCGAGTCGCTTCGGGGGGCCCGTCCCGGGGCCGCCCGCTGCGTTACAGTCGCCGGGCGGCGCTCGGATGGTTGCGCCCGCAGCCGGGACATCTGGGAACAGACCGAGGCCCAAGTGGGGCCTGCGTTCCCCCAAAGGTCGACAGTGACACTCGCGGGCCGGGGCAGGGGCAGCTGCGAGGATTTGCGCCGCCTCTGCAGCCCTCCACCGGCCCCCGGGCGCGGAGAGCGGTGCGGAGCAGCGGCCGGCAGCCGTCGGAGCGCAGAGCTGCAGCGGCCGCGCCAGGCAGCCTCCGCGTCCCCACCTGCATGGTCTGGGCAGCAGCAGGCACCCCCGCTCCCGCTTGAAGCCCTTCGCTTGTGCCCCGGCGCTCCGGACTGACCAGGCCTGGTCCCAGGGACGACCCCCGGGCAACACGCAGTCGGTTCCCTGCAGCTCAGGCCAGGCCCTCTCCGGGCGTCCTGCGGCGATGGGAAGTCCTGTCCCGGCCAGGGCGAGACCCGCTGCGTGAACGCCAGGTGCAACCAGAGGGCTCTTCTCCGTTGCTCAGAAGTCACTGGTTCCGTCTCTGGAGACGGTGACTGAGCCTTGCCTCCCGCCGGGAGCTGCCCTGGACGTTGGGGACCGATCGGGTCTCTGCTGTCCAGGCAGCTGGGGAACCAGGGAAGAGAGAGATACTCAAGCCACAGAACTCCCCCAAAGAGCATTCATCTGGAGACGCGCCGTAAAGACACAAACGGGGCAGGGTTGCAGAGGGTGCCAGGGGCGGTGCGCCAGCCCGGGCGCTCGAGACGCGAACGCTCCGACCCTCAGAAAAAAGCGACAGCAAAGCGGCAGGGTCAACTTTATACTTATTTTATTGCAGTAAAAGAACCTTTTCCTCCATCTCAAACCGCCCGTGGCGGGGGGAGAGGGGGTTGCCAATCTTCATCGGATCCCCCCCACCGCGCCCCCCACCCCCAGTCGATTCAGTCTTCGAAGCTCCTTCCACTGCTCAGGGGCTGGACCCCTGAGGCGACGTCCAGGGACCAGGCCGTCTCCCTCCGGCTGGGGCGCGAACCTGGCAGAGCTGGGGCCCCGAGGCCCCGGGAGACAGCGCGCCCCGCGGAGCCCGGAGGGGGCGGGGCCTCGGGGCGGGCTCTGCTCAGTGGGGCGGGGCCGGGCCGCCCCGTCTGCGCCACTATTGGCCGCGGGCCCCGGACTGGCGGGTGAACGTCACGGGCTGGGCCCACCCCCTTGGCAATGTCTTCAGCCTGCTGCACTCCTAACTTAAGCATTTATTCCACTGGGATAGAAGCGGCAGGAGCAGCGTTGGCACCGGCGAACCATGGCTGGGATTTTCTATTTCGTCCTCTTTTCGTTTCTCTTTGGGATTTGCGACGCTGTCACCGGTTCCAGGGTGTACCCCGCGAATGAAGGTAAGAGCGAGGCGGTCCTTCTGCGGTCCCGGGCAGAGAGGTGGATCTGCGGGCGAATGATCCCCGGGAGCGCGAGGCCGGAGGGTGTGAGGGGATCCTGGCGTGAGTGGCGCACCCCCACTTCGGAGAAGGGGACCAGGACGAGGGGATCCGCGAGGAGGAGGGGGGAAGCTGCCGGGCAGCTTGCCCCGGGAGGTGACCGTGCATTCGGCGGAGCTACCCAAGTTTGTAGCGAAAGGACAAAGTTTATCAGCATCCGCCAGCGAGGCGAGCTCCAGGCGCCCCAGGGGATACACGGGAGCTAACGCCAGGATTTAAAAAAAAAAAAAAAAATGGACCTACCACCGTTCCCAACCCAGCCCCGGTCAAGGGGGGCCGCAAGCCTGGAACCAAGTGAGTGCTTGGTGCTCCAGGGTTCTTGCGAAAGCCTTGGAGCTCAGGTTTCTGCAAAGTTTCCCGAGCCCTGGGCTTCCCAGGACCCGGCTGCGGGGCCTCAGCTGCACGGCGGTCGTGGCGCCGCTCGCAGGTCGCCAGTGACCTGATTTCTGTAGCGCCCGGCGTCAGACACCTTTCTCCCCGCTGGGCCGCGCGCTCCGGGTGCGCGATCGCTGGCCTAAGGGCGCCCATGCTCTTCAGATAACCCCGCAGATCCCGGGAGCCCGCTGGCAAGTTGAACGTACTAGTTTTCGGGTTTTGCCCCCAGAACTATACACTGGGTTAGTTTGGATGGAATGTGCGAAACCGACCGGACCCGTCTGGGTGTATTTTCCGCGCGTCTCTTCGGACGTGCTGGAAAGATTGTATCCGTGTAGGAGAGGTGGAGGTTGATCATTTAGTTTCTGATGATCTCAGAGAAAGGCGAATTGAATGCGTGTGTGTGTGTGTGTGTGTGTGTGTGTATGCGCGCGCGCACAAATGCGTGTGTGTGGGTGCGCGGGTACCCGCGTGGACGCGGACGATTGTGTGTGCCTATGCGTGAGTGTCCTGATTGTGTGCTCCTGTGCTCGGTGCTGCTTGTGTTCAAGTCAGCGTGCATCTAGCCTTGCACCCGTCTCGTCGCCTCTTGCACACACACCCCCGCCCCCCGCTGCCTTCCCCAGCCATCTATCCATCCATCCATCCATCCATCCATCTATTCATCCGTCCATCTCTCCAGAATCCGTCCACGCGTCCCTGCGCAATCTATCATTATTCCTGTTCCGAAGGAGGGAGCCAAAAACCAACTTAGCCTTGGCTGGGCATCCGGTACCCAGGAGCTCGCCAGACGGAGGCGAGATTCGGAGAGATTCGCACACCTGCCGGCAGACACTGTTTGGAGGAAAGGGGCGCCCTCCCACCCTCTCGATCTCCTCCCTTCTTCCTTACTGGCTTCTGGTGCCATCGTGGTCGCTGAGGCCCCTCGATCCCCAGGGTCATTTCTTTTAGGGGAAGCATGGATCTCGCTTTCTCTTGACTACTTCGCACACTTGTTAGGACGTCCCTCAAGACCTCTCTGGCACCAGACGTAACAGAGCTTTTTTTTTTTTTTTCTTTCCTCTTTTTTTTTCTTTTTCTTTACCTTTTTCTTGTTTTTTCTTTTGGAGGCAAAACTTGGGAGCGCTAGACAAAAACGGTGTTGATAGAGCTGTGGACTGATGTAGAACGAAGGGGGGTGGTATCTCCCCTCCCCCCTCCGGCCGCTCCTCCCCCTTAAAAATTAATTCATTTTGTTGCTTTTTATTCCCGTCACGTTTCCTTTTCTCCCTTTTACCCTCCCTTTCTACTCCCTCCCTTTTTTTGTAAATTGGGTCTTATTGTTCCCTTTGTGTCCCTAATCCACCTTACATAAATCCAAATGGATGTAGCGGGCTTTTCTCTAGGGACCCAGAAGAGGGAATGGGGGGGGGGGGCGCAACTCCGGGCGGGAGCGACCCAGGGTAGGGCTCTACATTTTAAAATAATTAAGAGGCCCTAGGAATCCTGGCTCCTCGGGAAAACCGGGAGAAAGCGCTGATTTGAAGCCCTTTGACTTGGGGATGAAACAGGGAAGGTGGGCAGAATTCAGGGGCCTGGCGGTGAGATGGTTGAATCGGAGTGCCCAGGAGCAAGGTTGCGGGCTCCCTATTCCCACCCCTCCCCCAGCCTAAAGAGCCAGCCTCACTGATCAAATTAATAACCCGGGGGTTCCTTTGAGATGGGCCTTTTCGACCCCCAGGCCTGCAGATCTTGGTGGGAAAGGGAATGTGGAGAGGTTAAGAATCCATTGTGTCCTTTTCAGTGTCCTCGGTGCCTAGGACAGTTCCAGCCTGGGTGGGGTGTAGCAGCTCTGTGGCCTTCCCACCCCCACATCCCCCACCCTCTTAGGTGCAGCACGAGGACACTAAACCTGTTAGACAGCACTCCCTCACCTAAAATTCAAACCGGTGATGTCCTTCTAGGCTGAGGAGAAGTCTCTGGTTGTCCTCCAAAAGACCTGGGGAAGAGAATATTCCAGTGTGTTTGCATTTTAATTCTACAGGTCTGCCATTACCCCTCTCTGAAACTTCCATATTTAAAAAAAAAAAGGAGCCGATACCACATCCGGGGCCTCTTTCTCTGGTGGGGGAGGGAGAAAAGAAATGATAGAGCCTTTTCGTGACCCTTTGAGTACTCTCTGTTAGAATTCACTTGATGATGAGTTATGTGGTCATCTGAAACTTGCAAAAACAAATAACTCTAGTAGATACCACACAGAGATGAATGCAGGTTTTGCTCTGGAATGTAACTGCCCTACATAGATATATTTATTTTTTTGAATTGTACTTGAGATTCTCTATTCATCCTTTTTCGAAAATGAATCAACTCCGTCCTGGGATGGAATTTTAAATGCTAAGCAAGTTAAATAAATAAGAACGTGCAGATTTAAAGAGGGGAGAAGATCAAGTAAGTAATGATTATTTACATAAGTGAGACCAAGTTTAGGTTTTGATCAGAGTTGGATATGCACACCCTCAGCACATATGGAAACGCTCAGGCAAATGGTTTTTGTAGTATTGGGTTTTTTTGCCATTGGAAATTAATCCATTTTTTTTTCTTTGTTTTCTTGCAGTTACCTTATTGGATTCCAGGTCTGTTCAGGGAGAACTTGGGTGGATAGCCAGCCCTCTGGAAGGAGGGGTAAGTTCCGAGTTGCTCTCTGATCCAAAGGGTAAAAAGGAGTGATTAGCAACTTTCTGAGAGTCCTAATGGCTTGATTCTTGTTGATTGTGGTGAGGGGGTCAGATTTCCACCATGGCCTATGAAGTGAATTACGCTTTGTTGGAGAAATCCTATACTCCCTTTGGATGGCTCTGTCATAGAAGAAGTAGAAACCAAAAGGGCAGAAAGGGGTTTCAAAATTAAGAGATTGGTGGAGGCATAGACTTAGATGCCTATTTAAAACTAAAATACCCTCAAGAAATACAATCCAGGGACCAAATTAGAATTCGTGCCTATTAATGTGATGGCCGTGAAGTCCTGACAGGGTTCATTTTAGAGCAATTGTTCTGTTTCCAGATGAGGAAAATGCATAAGTAAAGAGACCAGGGAGAAAACATTTTCTGATTGCAGCAGGTACAGGTTTAGTTCTAGGTGTAAGCAACAGGGCGGGGGTGGGGGTGGGGGGTGATGGGGATGGTCCTTACCTTGCTATCTGCAGCTCTCTTGCGCACAAAGAGAAAGACCTATGAACTTGTGCCAGACACACAATATATGCAGAAACAAACAAACAAATGAACGAACCAAAACAACAATAACAACAACAACAACAAGCTTTTGAATTGTTGGTGCTGAATGTGGAAAGTTTAAATATTTGGAATCTTGAATCTTTGGGAAAGGGGAAGCTAGAAGATAAAGTATGAGAGAGTTCATCACTGTTCATTTCTTCTCAAATGTGCCATCCCTGCCTCCTGAAGATTTAAGACCACAGTTAGGTCAATGGCCACATCTTCCCCCTCCGCCCTTCAGAACAGGTCAGAATGCATCAGCTTTGGAAAGAAATCCATTTAGCATGTTAACTCTGGCTTCTGCCAAATTTAAAGTAATTCTCAAATCCTTTAAAAATTAAGTAGATCATTCTACTTTTATATGCTTGATAATCTATGACAGAGTCAGTTGATTCAAAACAATGGAGGTGAACGAGAGGGAGTGTTTAGCAGGCGAAAGCCCTAAGGCCAGCTCCCGGTTTGGTGCCTCACACCACCTGTCCATTGAATCAACAATAAAGGATGAAAAAAGTAAAGATTCACAGAAACTTGTAAAAGGCGGGCTTCAAAAATAAGGCAAGAAAGTAGTAAGGCAAATGGAGACTCTTAGGCGGTCTTTTTTCCAAAAGAGGTCGTGTAATCCACATGAAATAAACCGGCGGTCGCCTTGCCTTCCTGTTTATCCGCCTGAACTTGACTGCACTTGGTTGGCTCGCTGCTGAAAAATTCTAGTCGGGCCTGAAAACCATTTTTTTAAAGGGAGGGAGAGTGATTGGCAGGCCTCTAGCAGTGTAGACAGGCTGTATTCACTGCTGATTGCAGGCAATTGCCCTCATCCTTTGAATGCGAAGAAAGGTACAGCTTTATCTTGGGAGAGTCAGCCTCTTGTTAATCCTATACCCTGGAAAGGTCACTGATTCAGGGAGGCTTTCCCATGCTGTACCAGGAGGATAGCTCTGTAGGTTGACTGTAATAGAACTGCAAGCAAAATTGAGGATGGAACGCATCAGTACTTTGAAAATTTCATAAGCCTTATTTTCTTACTGGCCACTCTCAAGTTTGAAGGGAGAAGGCATCGAATATGATTCTGGACCTGCCTTGCTACACTAAATATACATGTGATCTGTTTAAAAGCAAGGAATGACACATTTCTGAGTACAGCCTATGGTCTATCTAGTTTCTGGAAAGCTTTTACCGCAACTTAATATGCTGTAGACATCCCACATCCTGCACCCACCCCCCAACTGCTGAAAGGACACCTGCTCACTTTTTCTAAACACAAAACTTCTTTCGGTCGTCTTGAAGTCTCTTAAAATACTACTGTGCGTATATAGCTGATTGTGTACAACCCAGAACTTTTTATGGACCTAATGTGGACTTCTGAATGCAGAATGTAGTTGTTTGTTTGTTTGTTTTTTCTCCCTCTCCTTAAGTATTAGGGGTGTAACATTTTAGACACTATTGCAAGGGGCTGGAAATGACATTTTGTTTATGTATAATAGAATTAGTCATTCCAAAATATATAGTAGCCATTGAGAAATTATGTGCCGAATTATAAAGTCTCATTAATCTGTAGATCTTGTAATTTAAGAAGACTTTTTCAGGCTTAGAATGAAGGTATGAATTGGATTATCTCCCAAGTATGGATGGATTGGCTTTAAAAAGTTCTTTCTAGCTAAACATAAAAGCACATTTGTATCTTTTGGTTATTCTGAAATTTCTACCTGTAGGGAGAACGGCTTATATCTTTCTTGGCTGGAAACTTGGGATCACGGTTTGGTCAATAAGTGTTGTCCTTTATTTGTTGTTATTGTTATTTTTAAAGAGGAAGGGAAAACTTGACAATACCACAGAGTCAGATATGAAATATAGTCAGAGACAACTCCCTGTTCTCTTTTTTTCTGTAAGAACAACTAAGCAGAACATAGAATAAATGAAAGGAATGGCTCCTGGTGGCAACATTGTAGCAAAAACCTAATTTCTTGGCAGCGGTCCTTTAAAGGAGTATATTGAGTTTCTGATGCTGATTGTAAAATACAAAACTAAGGCCGAGATTTGTCATTGTTCTGGTGAATTGATCAATGTGTTTAGACAATCAAGGTCAGGCTGGAAAATTCACATTAGACCCAAACTATCCTGTATGAACTCTATGGAGATATTCCTGTGTGCTTTCATTTACATTGATAAATGTGTTTTTCCATAGTCCCTTTGTTCTGAGATGAGAAGCATGCTGAGTAGGGTTTTTTTGAAGGTGGAGATCTATTTTTGGATTTACATGAATTTCCCCAAATAAGTAAATTACTGGTGATTTATTGCTTAGCGGATAAAAAGAAATTTTAATCACCACAGGGCACTTATCCCTCCCAGTTCCAACTTTCATAATGGTCGCAGATGAAAGGGATCCAGAATTTTATGCAGTGTGGCCCTTCACAGAGTAACATTTCCATCCATTAATAGTTTTCCAATGCACAGATGGAAAACCCGTTAAAAGATGCATTATGGTTGTACGTACTTCATTGGATTGAATGGAGCTTTAAGTGGAGCTATTATGGAATATGAATTTTTTTAAACTATCTTTTTTCTCTTCTAATTATATTCATGTGTTAGATACTTAAGCTGATTTATACCAGATCTATATAAATGCATCACTGTAGATATTAGGGAAGAATTGGAGGCTTCCTGCTAGCCCTCTAGGAGCCCCCAAACAATCTTGCTGCTCTTAGGATTATTTTTAAAAGCTGTGGCAAGAGTGAAATTACTACTCTAGTCACAGTGAGTTCAGACTGTCCCACCAGTAGAATCTTTATTTGAGGAAGTCGATTGCAAAGAAAACCCTAAAAGCCTTCTTTAATTTTCTTGGGCTTTCAATCATAGATACCACCTACTATTGTATTTTCAATGTCCACAGAATATTTGGAAGAGGCATATGTGCGTTCTTGTTTCCTTACGGGTATGTGTTTTAAAAATAGGAATACGTATATGAAAATCAGAATATACATAATTCATTGAATCCATTGCTCTGCAAAGGTGTCTCATTGTTATGAATGACAGTGGATTTGAGAAATCCAACCATAAAGTTTGCTCTCTGTCTTCCCAGGATTACCAAAACCAGAAGAGTGAGATTTTCTTTACCTCTTTAAAGAATAGGGACAGTGCCAAAAAAAAAAAAAAAAAAAAATCGACTGACTTTTTTTTTTTAGGTATTAGAGAGCAAAGTTCTGACAGGAGCACCACTAATTAACTGATAATTGTCTTCCTTTGGCAAGCTTCTTTCTTCCTGCTCTTAATTTGCAGGTCTCTGCTCAGTTGTTGAAACAATACACATACTAGTTTTTCATTTATGAGTAAATTTGAACTGTTGCCACTTGAAATTGTAGCTGTTGTAATAGGTGAATTTGAGGTTGTTAGACCACCACAAGGAGCTGCTAGTGAACTCATACGCGATAAATCTACCAATGCCTCTGGATTTTAGGCAAAAGAATGAAACCACCACACACACACACACACACACACACCAGAAAACAAAAAATAAAAAAAATACTTCCCCAATAAAATGTTGTCTTGTCTCCCATAAGACGTTTCATTAGTGAGGGTTGATGCTCAGGAGTTTGCTTCCTCACTGGAACAAAAGTCATCACTGTCCTGCGAGGGTAAAACGGAATGGATAAATCACTGTATGATGACATTTTGTAATTGATACATTTCCTCTGGATCTTTGCAGTGGGAGGAAGTGAGCATAATGGATGAAAAAAATACACCAATCCGAACCTACCAAGTGTGCAATGTGATGGAACCCAGTCAGAATAACTGGCTACGAACTGATTGGATCACCCGAGAAGGGGCTCAGAGGGTGTACATTGAGATCAAGTTCACCTTGAGAGACTGCAACAGTCTTCCGGGTGTCATGGGGACTTGCAAGGAGACGTTTAACCTGTACTACTATGAATCGGACAATGACAAAGAGCGTTTCATCCGAGAGAGCCAGTTTGCCAAGATTGACACCATTGCGGCCGACGAGAGCTTCACCCAAGTGGACATTGGTGACAGAATCATGAAGCTGAACACTGAGATCCGGGATGTAGGGCCACTGAGCAAAAAGGGGTTTTACCTGGCTTTTCAGGATGTGGGGGCCTGCATTGCCCTGGTATCGGTCCGCGTGTTCTATAAGAAGTGTCCGCTCACCGTTCGCAACCTGGCCCAATTTCCAGACACCATCACAGGGGCTGACACGTCTTCCCTGGTGGAAGTTCGAGGCTCCTGTGTCAACAACTCAGAAGAAAAGGATGTGCCAAAAATGTACTGTGGGGCAGATGGTGAGTGGCTGGTACCCATTGGCAACTGCCTATGCAATGCTGGGCATGAAGAGTGGAATGGAGAATGCCAAGGTAAGGAGAGCCATATTGTACTTTTCATTAGGGCTTAGTGCACGTAATTAAATCAGAGATGAGACTAAATGGAGTAAAGCCAGTAATTAGCAGCCCCTGTGGGATGTGGTGGGACAGAGGGGTCTAATGAGTAAGTGCTATAGCTCCAGGTGGCAAGGCTAAGACATTTCTAATACTGACAAAATAAATGATGCTGTGTAATCAGCAGAAGGCCAAACACATTTGCTAACAGGCACTTAGATCTGAACTGGCTTGATGTGCCCTCTGAAATGTAAATGAACAAGTGGAAGAAACAGACTCGATTGATCCTTACTTTAAGCAGGCAGACACGTTTTCAAACCATAGTTTTGCTGTCTACAGATCTGGGAAAAAGGCAGCAATGGTTAAATGTCTCTCGTCGCGAATGTATGTACAGGAACGACTTAACTGTGACATTAGGATCGCATTCTTGCAATTCCCTCCCACTGATTAAAATCGAGCTGTGTGAAGAAAGTCCAGTTTTTCCTGTCTCATGGGCCAGTGTAGACGAGTGGAGTGGAGTAGAGACAAAATGGAGTGACAGAGTTTCAAGTACACTCTGTTCCACCGAGCACCCATTGATAGGGTCTGCAAGTGACATTAATCTTGATGAAAGACCTTGATTTCCCCGAGGAGGTGATAAAGAGCTAATGAGAGTCTTATTTGATCTGTATGGTCGGAAGCCATAGTGAATTGTGATCCATTTTGCTTATTGAGTGTTTGAAGAAGTCGAGACTTTTTTTCTATCACGTTAATTACTACTTATCATATTACCAAGAAGATTTTCTTTCCTGAAGTTTAGTGTATGCAATTCTTCCTCACCTTATTTCTCCTTCCGGGGGAGTTTTTGTAAAAGAGTTTTTTTTGCAGCGGCTTTGTTTCTGAGCAGGGGGATGAAAAAAGTTCATATTTAGATGGATTGTTCGTGTTGTGTGTGGATTAAGGCTTAAAAAACTCAGTCATGCCTAGCATTGTTATTTTTGCTTGATGTTTTATTTTTAGTGGTTATCAATAGTCTGCTGCCACCAACCTTATGGTTACTGCTAAACAGTGTAACTCTGGTCCCGACTATGGAACGGATCCGATTAATCTTTTCTCAGGGTGACTGTTGAGCTGTAGACTGATTGCCACATGGTTCATCTGATTTGGTGATTAAAGACCCCGCAATAACTGACTGCCAAACAATTTGTCTGGCATTTCAACCATCTTAATGACAGGGTGGGATTAGCCATGGGACAATCCATTTGACTGACTGGAAATCAACAGTTAAAACCTCAAGAAAGTTGCATTTGTGGTAATTTGATGTCATAGGTTATGCATTTTTCTCCTTTATACTTTATGCTGTTTTAAAGTGGCCCTCTTGATTTGCTAGTTATTTCTGGGAGTAGCTAACAAGGAATGTCGTAAATCCATCGTAAATAAAACAATAAACCTTTTCTGTTGACCCAGAGTGAAAAGGTAAACTTGTAAATTTGAAAACTTTTAGGTTGGTTGTTAAAGTTGTTTGTTTGTTTACAACGATTAATTTCTTGGTCACTGTGTTGGCTCTTGACTTCGCAGCTACTAGATCGGCTCTACCAAACTGAAACCCTGAAGTATATTCTGGTAGGAGTATTGGAACATATATGAGAGCATTGTTATTGGCACCTAGATGGCAATCCTCATAGCAGGAACAGTGACGTGAACAGGACAATGACACCGCATCACATCTAGAGTAAATTATTCTGCCTTTTCGATTTTTGTAACACAGGACCTGCACGTCTTCCCATGTCAAGATTCTTATATGTATTTAAAAGAAAAAAAAAAAGAACACCATTGTCTTCCATTTCCTGCTCTGGCATTAGGACATCTCTGTATCTAATGTCATTGATTTTCAATTGTCACAGAGCCCAGTAACTCATACATTGCTACCCTGTGAAAGTCCTTGACAGTTTTACAGCCCAAATTAGAAGAAGAAGAGAAAAAGATGGAGGGGGAAGTGAATGTAAAGGCAATTGAACATTTTAGTGGTTTGCTTTATGGAAATAATCTTGGGAATCCAGTTAATCATATGGTTCATGGAAAGGGTGGGGCTCCGTGTTTTAGGTCCAGTTCATTTCTAAGCAAACTGTTCCTAACATGAGGCCAGATATTTAATGGAAGGGGAGGTTGAGGCCTTTTTTTTTTTTTTTTCCTTTTGAATCTTTATTGTTCTCACTCTGGTATTTTCTTTGCTGCTCATAAAACGATAACTCTTTCAAGAAGACATTTTTGACCAAAATCTTGCACGTTGTTGGTTTGTTTGTTTTTAATACTACCAGGGAGGACTTGCTGATGCATTTAGGGAGGAAGGAAAAACTTGAATGGCAAGATTCTTCAGATCCAAACTTGAGTGAAACTTTTTAAAGATGACTCAAGCCCGTAAAAATCTTAACAGTAATAAAAATAGTCGTCTCCATCCTTGACGTCATTACTGGGACGCATCCAGGTAGAGCAGAGAGAGCACTGAGACAAAGAACTGTGTCTCAGTGTGGTCACTTAACTGTGTGACCTTGAGCCCGTTTCTTAAGCCCTCTGAGCTTTGTTTCTTCATCTGTAAAATGGGTTGATGATAACTTTACTTAGCTTGTAGTCATCGACAAGGACACAGTGATGTAGGAGTAGTAAAAGTCACCTTGTAGACTATAAAGCATTAAGCCCATGTTAATGCTAGCAAGTTTTTGATCACTTGCTCTTCCCAAAGCTGTGGACGTTTAAGGGTATTGAGTTGGAAAAGTAAAAGAGAAACTCAATCTCCCGGCCACTCGGGGGACGTCAAGGCTAAAGATAGGAAGGAAGCAGGGCCCTTGCCTTAAGCAACAATAATGTCTATTTTCACACTTCATGTTGAAAATGGTATCTGGAGGGTGTCATTTGATCTCTCCCCTGCAGGAAAGAGAGCTGTCCTTTGAGTGAGAGGAAAGTGATTTGGGGGCGGGACAAGAAAGACCAGGGTTGCAAAGAGAGCTTTAGGAGGGACATAAAGGGGGAACTGGCAGTCTTCAGAACTCTGGCAAGAGGTTCCTCCCCAATTGTCTTTCCAGTGGGCCTACTGTTGCAGGCCCACTAGAGCAGGTGAAAGGTCACCCGCTTCCTCATCCATCTTCCCTGGGGTCCAGGGGGTCAGAGTGAAGACGGATTCAGGTCTTACATGTTTGACAAAGGATCCTTGGACAAAAATGGCCGGGGGGGGGGGGGGGGGTGTGGCTGGCCCAGGGGGTGCTGTTGTTCGAATCTAAGCCTCATCATCTGCCGGAGTCCTCCAGGGACGCTGGGGACAGTTGGGGACCGAACAACACTTCCTCCTCCGGGAGAACCTACCCCTGGCTGGCTGGCTTCGGCAGTGGTGTGAACTTGCCTCGTGATTGGCCGCAGAGGACAAGTAAGTTCTAGTTTGTCTGGTGGCCGGGTCTCCTCAGGCTGTTGGAAGAAGGAAAAGAAAATATACACCTTGGACCACCCCCCACCTCCCCGCAGAGCCCCACATGTACCCCCCATTGAGGAAATGGTCCAGATGTTTTATACCTTTGTCTGCATTCCTTCAGAAACATTAAGCAGAGGAAGAGAGGAGAGGATTCTTTATTAATATAGTCTTTGCTTAATTAAAAAGCTGAAAACTGAAAGGAAAGTCACTGATTTACTCTTTGTGAAACATTAATGAGAGATATTTTAGAGAGTGTATATATAAAAATAATACTAATAAAAAAAGTCTTTTTTTTTTTTTTCTGGAGTCACTCTTAAAGTCAAAGAATCACAACTGTGACAAAGTTAAACTACATAGGAATCAAGCCTTACTGAAATACACGGTTTTGCTGTAGATTGTTTGGGTTCATATATATCTATCTAGGACCTCTCTTACCTGTTATTAAAATGTGATGCCTTCGTATCAGCAAAAGGGATCATTAAAAGCTCTTCTGAGAGAGAATAAGATACAAACGCTTTGATGGCCATAACAGAAATATTTCAGATTTGTGCTCTGAAAAGCGGGAGAGAGTTATGTTAAAAAAAAAAAAAAGACAACGAAGAAGAAATTACTTTGTTTTCTTACTATGCTGTAGAAAGAGTTTAGGAGAAAAAAGTAGCGGAAAGGAAGCATTACGAATATAGTTCAGAGAAATGTTGCTCCATATCCTTTCCACCTTTGAAATTTTTCTTCTACCTTTGAATCAGGTCTTTAAGAATCAATTACTTGAATCACATGGCTGCTTTTATCTTCAGCTTTGAAGCCTGGCTGTGATCACTGAAAGACGCAATTCTTTATATAAAAGAGCAGGGTTTAATTATTGTCCCCTTTCTGTCATACTTTTTCTTAACTCTTCCCTTCTTCGTGTGACCAGGGTTCTTTTGTTAGTGTGAAATCATGGAGTGGTCTCCATTTTGGGCTCACCGGAGCATCACATAGGAAATTATCTCAGTTAGGGACTTTTGAATCTGCTATTTCAGATTTGATGACTTATTTGAGTCTCACCGAGCTTTCTCGTACCTTTCAAAAAATGAATTAAGACGTCGTTATTCTGTTAAGACTTGAGTCTTTGGAAAAAAAGACTGTGTAAATGGCTTTTCAGTTACTACCGTGTAAAGCAGAGGTGGTCCTGAGAGAAGTTTGACTTTCTTATCATTGAACTTTACGACTCGGGGTTTTGGGTTTGCTTTTTCGTTTTGGCATTTAATTGAAGAATTTAACATTACCAAAGAACTATATGCCTCCAACTCTTCAACTTTTTATGAGTGACCACTCTTTATAATTTGGCAGGCAGCCCGAATGTCATCTGTCTTCATGTATTTACAAAATTAACAGAAATAGAATCATCCCTTTGATTATCATCTTGTTTTTTACGACGCTTGACTATTTATCATGGACATTACTCCGTGTTAGAGGATATGACTTTTCTTCATCCTTCATGATGGATAATTAATATTCTGAAGCATGAACATCCGACATTATATGTAATTTTTCCCTTATT